TAAATGAGTATGTCAATTCTAAGTTTAAAGACCCAAATGAGGAAATGCAGAGAATATTAGAGAAGAAACACTTCAGAAACAAACAGAAAGAGATAGAATACATTTCGAAGAAATTGCAATCTTACGATTGGAAGACTTACCCTCACAGATGTCTTCTTATCTTAGATGACTTTGCTTCTCATCCTTTGTTAAAGAACAGAGAACAAGACATGTGTCGAATTCTTAAGAAGCTCAGACACTTTAACATTTCAGTTGTCATTTGTGTACAGACAGCCAAGAGTTTAAGTAAGGATGTAAAGAGAATACTTACTGATATCATACTTTTCCCCGGATTGTCCGAAGACGATTTCATGGAACTTATGAAAGAGTCCATGGCAGGTAAGTTTGACAGACATGAACTATGGGAGAAGTACAAAGTCATACAAGACCCTCATACTTCTTTCAGAATTCACATCTACGCAAACAAAGTTCAAATTGTAAAAAGTCAAGCGTAAAAAATAAAGGTTCATTTACTCTTCTCTTTGAAGTTGTCAAAATACTCTGTTATCTTTTCCTTCAGTAGCGGCAAATCTTCTTTGAATGTAAGTATTGTACAACCTTTCATATCATAGTGTGTTTGAGGTAACGTATCTTGAACTATCTGTTTAACATCTTCATTTGGTGTCATTGAAATCGGTAAGTTTTCGCGATAGAACCAATTTCTGTCAGATTTGTAAATCTTAGCAAGGTCGTAAAAGCTTTTGTTGTTTCTTCTGACTAAATGAAACATAACCATATCTCTGTCTTCTTCATTTTCCATCTCTTCAGTGTAAATCATATACTTATAGTTCTTTTCCTTTCCTTTTGGTACCGAACGTGGTATTCTTTTCTGTATGTTTTTGTCTTTTGCTTCAATGACTTCATCTTTGGATTCAATGACTTCATCTTTTGCTTGAAGTTTCTTTTCCATCTCTTCACGTTCTTGTCTATGAATTTCGTCAAGAAGTCTGAAAATATACCAAGCGTAACGAGGTGAAGCCCACATTGCAACAGCATTTACAAGAAGTCTATGTACATAATATCCTCTTAAATTTATTGGCAAATTTTTACGATTTTCATGTGTTTTATGCAAGGCCGAGAATTCTCGGTCTAGAGAAATTTCACTAAAAAGTTCTTGTGTGCTTTGGTTTTTGAACCAGTCGTCTGCGTGTTTAGTATCTGGAGCAAAACATGCATTCAAAATACTTTGCATTTGGTACATGTCATCTTTGACCGAACGAATGAGACGGAGTTGTTTGTTATACTGAACCCACTCATATTCTTCACTTATGGCTTCATGAACGATAGCAGTTGTTGTGTTCTCTGTTGTTGACATTTCTGTTCTTATATACAAAATAAAAAATAAAATAAAATAAAAAATAAAATAAAAAATAAAATAAAAAATAAAATTAGCGTTATTTTCTATCTTGTATAAAAGACCAAAAATAAACGCTTTACATGTATTTTTCAGCAACTTCGTCAAATAATTTTACAGCTTTCTCTATCTCATCTACTTCAAACGTTTCTTTACCTTTCGTGGGAGCACCATACATTTTCTCAAACTTTTCAAGTAGTTCTGTTTCAGCAGCTCTCATATCATTTACAAACACAACCTTAACTCTATTGACTGTAGAGTCATATCTTTGAGTTATATTAAATGTTCTTCCTATCTTATATCTCTTTGTATTGAAGTCCTTCGGCTTCTGAACGATGTAAAGTAAGCCTTCACTGCAACGTTCCGTATCGAATGAACCATATGTTATGAAATTATATCCAACAACTGGGTCAATCCATAACAAAACTATTGGTATAAGACTTTTGTCAATGAGATATGCTGTAGTTCCACAGAATCTTACCGATATCATAAGCTCAGGATTTCTTGTCAAAATTTTCTGAGTTGAAGCAATTCCAACCCAATGGTGTGTTTTCTTTCCAGATGGTGTTAGAATGTCTGACAAAGAATATTTGTTGTATTTCTTTGAGTATCTTACGTTTAAATCACCTATTCTAACCACTTTGGTGTCATTGTCTATCTTTTTGACTGTTTCAAACTCAGTGTTTGTCATTTCCTGTTCTTACATACAAAATAAAAAAAAATATTTTAAAAAAACTAGCGTTAATTTTATTTTTTCTATCTTGTATAAAAGATATGATTTCATAGAGTTTTTTTACGATTTTCATGTGTTTTATGCAAGGCCGAGAATTCTCGGTCTAGAGAAATTTCACGATTTTCATGTGTTTTAGGCGACTACGGTTTTTTACGTACTCGCAATTTTTTACGAAGAGTAAAAGTTCACTTCGTAAAAAATAACAGTTATATAATGAAATTTGGTCATTTTTTTCATGTCAGAAGACTCGAAGGTGCAACACTTCCAAAATACCGACGAACTCAGAAGAGCAGCATGGCAGTATGTTCTTGACAACTTCTTTGAGTTCTCCAGGTACACCTTGGAAAATGCTGAAGAACTCCGACACAGAGAATTTGGAGAAATTGCGCTCCAATACTACATTGACAAACAAAGGGTAAAATAAGACTAAAAACTTAACGTTTAAAAAGTGACATTTTTAATGAGCTCCGAGTCACCGAGAAAACTTGGTCAGATGTTAGCAGCTTACTTCCCTGAGGAGGATGGAAGCGTTACATACGTAAGGTTCAAAAACAACGAACCTGGAATTGCGTACCAAATTCGCAATTACATGACCGTGGAAGAGTACGAAAGGTTCCTACAAGAGAAACCAGCTCTAAACAACTCAGAAAAGAAAGAATAAAAAGTTTAACTCGTAATTGTTTATTTTTTTACTTGTATGGGCAAGCTGCAAGAATGAAGTCGATTATCTCAGTCTTTGTCTTGACCAGTTGGACGGCTCTTGCGAGTACGTCTGTTTTGCGGTCTCCAGCTGGTGTCTGACCTTCGTAATTGCGCATGTTCTTGAGAGCTCCAACTGTAAATGGCTGTAAGATGAAGAGTCTCTCAGACTGCTTGAGGTAGTCGTCTCTGTCTTTGACCGAATCTGTGGTACGAGTCGAATCGGTCGATTTGAGGGAAGAGACTGAAAGCCTGTCGTCTTCCATAGGGGCTGTGGCATAATCTTTGCGTAAACGGTTCAGACCTTCTTCGAACTCTTGGTCTCTCTTCGATTGGGATTGAGATTGGAATTGCTGGGGTGGAGCTTGCTGGAACATCCAAGGGTTGGGGAAGTAAGGCATAGGCTGAGGAGGAGGGTAGTTCGGGAAGCCTTGTGGTGGGTAGTAACATTGAGGTGGAAATTGGTAGTAATTTGGTGGAGGTACTTGCTGGAACTGAGGTGCAGGGGCTGGTGCTTTAGGTTCTGCAGCTTTCGGTACTTCTGGCTTTGGAAGGCATTCAGGAAGAGGAACGTCAGTCATCCGTTTGTGTCCTGTCGGAAGGAAAATATTTTCCTGTCGGAAGGAAAAATTTTTCCTGTCGGAAGGAAGAACTTTTCCTGAAGTTCGACCAAAAAGTTCTCAATTTTCGAAAATTTGAATGGTTTACGGACGAACAACAGGAAAATTTTTTCCAGTTGTCGGGAAAAATTTTTCCCTTTGTCCGGAAAATTTTTTCCAGTTGTCGGGAAAATATTTTCCTGTCGGATGGAAGGACTCGGAATGCCAGAAGGATTTGCCGAGGCAATTTACCTCATTGAAATTAACGACTGCGTAAAAGACTACTTGCGCAAGGTCATGAAGCCCAAGGTCAAGTTCACCAGTATTTCTGGAAGGTCTACACTTCAGCTCGAGACTTCGACTGGAATTCCAATTCAAATACCAGACGGGACAGCCTACGATGGCATAAAGGACGCCAAAAGAGAAGCTCTTGTTAAGTTCCTAAACAAACGTCCTTGGATAAAAATACCAAACAAGGAGAACCCCCTACCCCATATGAAATTGGCAATTCAGTCTCTCCTTCACTTCTCGGGTCAGCCGTTCTACATAACCTGTGAAGGCGACATTCAGCCAGTTCTTCAGCCAGTTCAGTAAACATCTCATTTTAACTTCACTTTTTTTATGTTTTTACGCATGTGAAGAAGAAGCCTTCTGGTAAGTTTCTTATAGCCATATACATGGCACGCTTTGAGTAAAAACATTTTTTTCATTTTTGAATGAAGCAAGTTAAATTCGTCCCACACCAATCTCAATGGACCGATGAAGAGTTTCAAGCTATGGTTGAAGGTGTTGAGAACGACATAGACGGCGAACGTGAAGGAGCTCAAATCACAATTGCAACCAAAATTGCAGAAGTCAAGGAACAGATAGCTCCACTTAAAGCTACCAAAGCTACTCTTGACCTCATGGATAGTTACCGTTTAGATGTCAAGAGTGGAATAAGACAATTAAAATTAAAACTTCTAAACTACGAAGCTATACTCCAAAAGTTAGCAGAAATGAGAAGACTTTACCAGAGCTACTTACATGTAAGGGACTTACCTTCAAGCAGTCCGACCAAAGATGAATTTGTTGACATTGTCCCAATTTTGTCCGAAAGTCAGCTCAGATGTTTCGAACTGCTCCCAACATATCCAGAATATGAACGTTTGCCTGAACTCTTCCGCAATCTCAAAAAACGTTTTTTGGTTCTCATGTTCGAAACTTTTATCGGAAGAGACAACAAACGTTCAGAAGAAGAACAAGATATTATTTTAAACTTGTTGTATGACTTAACCGTCATAACAAGCTTTTTGAAGTAAAACCGTCATTCTCAAACCACTTCATTTTTTCGATGTCCGAACAAGCACCGAAGCCAAACTCAATGGCAGATGTCCTTTCAAGGTTGCCAGACAAGCGCCCAGTTCAAATTCAAATTGCCCAATTGAACGCTCATCTGACAACCACCATTAAGACTATCCAATGTAGTCTTATGGAAGAGATAACCAATCTCAAAGTCGAAGTCCTCACGAACCAAGCTTCCAATAAGAAAGTCCTGAACGATTTCGCGGAAACCTTGCGCCAATACAACAAAGAGAACCAAAACCTTGCCAGACTCATCTACCGTTTCTTCGAAGAGATAGACGCCATCTGGAAGGTACTCGGAAAGGACAGAACATGCAACACCGTACTTCGTGAGTACCAAATTGAAGAAGGAATTTTCGAGGAAGAAGAGAAACACGAAGAAGAAGAGGAAGAAGAAGAGAAACACGAAGAAAAGGAAGTTTGGGCAACCCTTGTTGCGGATGACGGTTATGAAATTTCCCAGCCCTACCCATACAAAATCCGCAACAAGGAGACCGGCAAGGTTCTTACCCCAGTCCTCAACAACTTGGGACACTTGAGCCTTACTCTTCGGAATTACGGTACAATTTCCATGGGAAGGCTTGTCGGTATGCAATGGGTTCCAAATCCAAACAAGAAGACGAAGGTCAGACACATTGACGGTGACAAGCTCAACAACCGTAAGGAGAACCTCGAGTGGTTCTAAGAGTAAAAAAATTTATTTTAGGGGAAACCCCGAGTAAATTTAGGTGTTGTAATGGTTTCCCCACTTCAACATCTCTTTCTTTTGCTGTAATGGTTTCCCCACTTCAACATCTCTTTCTTTTGC